ACTGGGGCCTTCGGTGGAGCTCCCTATGGGGCCACGAAGCGTGTGAGGGGTGTGCCAGAATGGGGGGTGGAACCGCATGCGGGCGCAGCCACTGGGGCCTTCGGTGGAGCTCCCTATGGGGCCACGAAACGGGTGAGGGGTGTGCCAGAATGGGGGGTGGAACCGCATGCGGGCGCAGCCACTGGGGCCTTCGGTGGAGCTCCCTATGGGGCCACGAAACGTGTGAGGGGAGTGCCAGAATGGGGGGTGGAACCGCATGCGAGCGCAGCCACTGGGGCCTTCGGTGGAGCTCCCTATGGGGCCACGAAACGTGTGAGGGGTGTGCCAGAATGGGGGGTGGAACCGCTTGCGGGCGCAGCCACTGGTGCCTTCGGTGGAGCTCCCTATGGGGCCACGAAACGTGTGAGGGGTGTGCCAGAATGGGGGGTGGAACCGATGCGGGCGCAGCCACTGGGGCCTTCGGTTGAGCTCCCTATGGGGCCACGAAACGTATGAGGGGTGTGCCAGAATGGGGGGTGGAACCGCATGCGGGCGCAGCCACTGGGGCCTTCGGTGGAGCTCCCTATGGGGCCACGAAACGTGTGAGGGGTGTGCCAGGATGGGGGGCGGAACCGCATGCGGGCGCAGCCACTGGGGACTTCGGTGGAGCTCCCTATGGGGCCACGAAACGTGTGAGGGGTGTGCCAGAATGGGGGGTGGAACCGCATGCGGGCGCAGCCACTGGGGCCTTCGGTGGAGCTCCCTATGGGGCCACGAAACGTGTGAGGGGTGTGCCAGAATGGGGGGTGGAACCGCATGCGGGCGCAGCCACTGGGGTCTTCGGTGGAGCTCCCTATGGGGCCACGAAACGTGTGAGGGGTGTGCCGAAATGGGTGGTGGGGAGGCATGCGAACGCAGCCACTGGGGCCTTCGGTGGAGCTCCCTATGGGGCCACGAAACGTGTGAGGGGTGTGCCAGAATGGGGAGTGGAACCGCATGCGGGCGCAGCCACTTGGGCATTCGGTGGGGCTCCCGATGGGGCCACGAAACGTGTGAGGGGTGTGCCAGAATTGGGGGTGCAACCGCATGCGGGCGCAGCCACTGGGGCCTTCGGTGGAGCTCCCTATGGAGCCATGAAAAACGCTCCCCCCACCCCCCAACCCCCCCCAAAAAAATCCCCCCCCCCCACGAAACGTGTGAGGGGTGTGCCAGAATGGGTGTGGGAGGGGGAGGAGGGGGGAGGAAGGGGAGGAGGAGGAGGGAGGAGGAGGAAGGAACGCGGGGCGACGTCTCTTCAAAACGAGGACCCAACACCACAGGATGGTTGGGAAATACTCTTGTCTACCATCTTGGATTGCCAGTACGTCAGTTGCGATACCAGGCCTGACGTCGTTTGGAAAGTGTTGGTCGGCTCCGGGATGGGACTCCAGTGCAGCGGAGAGGTTTCGGATGCTGCCTATTTCAATCAAGTCGAACGAGACACCGTTGCCTGCCCAGCGTTTCGCGCTGCTCACGGTATAATCGCATACGTACGGTACCGTGATGACATTTTGCTTATACACGCCGGTTCCCGCGAGAGCCTGGATGAGTGCATCCACGTTCTACGGGAACGCTCCACGGTGTTTAAACTTGAAGTGGAGAGCGTTGGTCACAACGAAGTTCAGATGCTTGATGTTGTATTTCACCGCGGCCCGCATTGGCAGGACACACAGGTCCTTGACCACAGGGTCCACATCAAGAGATCCTCATTGTGGCTCCCACTGAACGATCGGAGTATGCATCCACCGAGCGTTCATGCAGCTTGGCCGATCGCCCACGTTAGAAGAGTTCGCCGCCTGTGTTCTGAATCACATTACGCCAATGCCGAAGTGACCAAATTTTGCACGCTTCTGGCGCGTACCTCCTCTCATCTCGCGCTGATTCCCAGAATTCGTTTTGAACATCTTCCGCTATGTCGGACCACCATTTCTATGCCTAAATTTCGTCCCTTGTCTCGCATCGTGCTCCCATTCTGCTTCCAGTGGCAGGGCGCCGGCATTCAGCGTGTAGTCAACCGCTCAGTGAAACCATGGCGGTCTCTACACCCCGAGTTGGCGTCTGTAGGAGTCGCTTGGAGATTAGGGGACGGACACCTGCTGCAGAGAGTTAAAGCCCTCAATTCTTTTCACATGCCCGGGTACGGCCTCAAAGCAGTGCTGTAAATTAGAATGGTAGGTTGGTTGGGGTTGGAAGGTGGACTTGTATCTGTTGTATCTGTCTCGGCACCAGAGCCAGATGAGCACATGCACTCATCCATCGGCGTGAGGCTCGAACCCGCTAAGGAAGCGAGGGTACAGGCAGTGTCACCCAAAGTGCTGCCCGAGCTAACGAAAAATCATCGCTGCGCGCGACTGTTGCCGCATTCCATTCCTCGTTGCCTGGGGCGCCTCCGGCGCCGGGAGGAGCCGGGAAAACCCGCTGCTTGAGCCGATTCGGTAACCCCTCCTTCGCTATCCGATAATCCCCTTCCCCCACCCTCCTGCTCTTCCTCCTCCTCTTCCTCCTCCTCCTCCTCCTCCTCCTCCGTTGTTTCGTTGATCAGGCACAAAGAGCTGAGCTTGTTGCGTCGTTACCTCCTCCTCCTCCTCCTCCTCCTGCTCCTGCTCCTCCTCCTCCTCCTCCTGCTCCCCCTCTTCCTGCCCCCCTCCTCTGCTTCGAGCCAAACTTCGGGATCAGGAGGGGCTCCAGGCTTCTCGGACCGCTCCTCGGAGCCCAGGCCGTGGCGGAGGCTCGCCGTGGCCAGAAGGGCCCCCTCGTTTTCCCCGGGCCCTGGACTCCAACTCGCCATCGCTCGGACGTCCGTTCCCCGTGCCCTCTTTCAGTTTCGTGCGTGCGTCTTTCGCACGATGATCCCAAGTTCTCCGGATATCTCGCACGACGATTGCCCTCGCCGAGAAAAAGAAGCACACGTGCGAGCGACGCCGAGCCAAACGGAACAGACGCAAACTTTGGGAGCTCCACACGGATTTCTTGGATCTGCGTTGGCGCCCTGGGCGGCGCCTCCGTCGCCGCACCTGGCGCGCTCCGCGAGCCAGGGAGGGAGGGGTCTAGCGCCGATCCGAGCAGTCCACGCGAGCCTCCTACCATGAATGCACCGTCGAAACGCTGTCATAACCCTAGCTGTGGAACTGGGCCCCTTTTTCCATGTAGTAAAACTTCGATTTCCCATGGAAACCTGAGGACGACCTAAGACAAACTGTAAAACAAGTAAGGAACACTGAGCCCCTCCCCAACGAACAAAAAAAGTTCCTTCATCAACGGCCCGACTGTACATGTTGTTTTTTCTTCTCTGAGCACCGTCTCCCGGACGAACTCTCCGACGATCTCGCCGGTGCCGTACGCGACGGCGACCTGGTCGCGGCCCGTCGCGTTCGCTGCGACCTCCAGGCCCTCGTGGTCGATGTCCACTGCTGAGGAGGACGCCCGGGCATCGTAGCGCCTGTGGCGCACGCAGGTCTCCGTCTCGCAGGCGGCGGACGGCAGGAAGAAGTGGCCAGAGCCCGTGTCGAAGAGCACGGTGAAGACTTGGGTCCCCTTTGATTCTCTTGAGATTCTGGTAGGCCACACTTGGCTTACGTGCGTAAGGCGGGCGTGCGGGTCGTTGGGCGTGCGTGCGAAGTGTACGTTGGTATCCTACATGCTGATGCATTTGAGCATGCCTACGCGGGTTCAGAATTGTCGTTTAGGTAATGTCTTTCTGGCTGAAATTTAGGAATGAACAAATAGCTAAACGGGTTCAGAGTGGTGGCGTCTGTAAAAGAACCAAAGGAAACCCAAACGAAGACCTGCTGGGGCATGCCCAAGGAGACCTTCCCGAAATACGCTGTCTTGTAGGACACCACGTGGTTCTTGCGAACCACCGGGACGTACTGCTTGTCCAGGGGTATGGTGACGACCCCGCTCCTGGAATTCTCAGGCTCGGTAGCGTCGGGCGTGCCCGCTGGGGGCGACCTCGCCTTCGAGGCGGCGAGGCTTGCTCCGTAGCCCTGCGCGGCGTCGGCGGGCACCACGCACAGTGCGAAGAAGCAGATGATGGAGGTAGCGCAAGCGCTGGCGCAAGCGCTGCAAGTATGAGAATGCATTATTAGGTTGTTAGCTGGTTCCTTGCGAGGGGGTTTCGCAGAGGATTCGATATCGAAGTATGATAAGCGTGTCGACTGGCTGAATGGGGGAGCGCGAAGGGAGAGAAGCGGCGGAAGCAGACGGGCCAGAAGCGGATCAATTTTAATCATCATCGGCGAAAACATACACCTTCGGAGGTCCGCGCGTAGTCCTTACATCTGCGCGGGACCCCCTTAATCTGCGCCGAAGGCGCCGCCAGGGGGACTGGCGCACATCCAAGAGCAAGGGTATGATCGTCCAGGCCGCATCTCGCTGCTCACCCACCCGAACGCCCTCGAGCACAATCCTGCAGGTTTTGCCACAAAGAGAAGAGTGCCTCGTCGCCCGCGGCGTGGCGGCGCAGACTGGAGAGCACCCTGACTTTTCGGTTCGGTCCAGCCGCGCGGCTCTGCCCACGCAGCGCCGGGCCTGCGACCAGCTGGCCAACCGTCCGAGACCACGACCCACATTTCTGACGATCTGTTCTCTCATCGGAAACTGGAGCATCTGCAATACCAGTGGCGGGCTGTTTCCAATCCAAAGACTTCTTGAGGGTCGGGGTCCTCGGGATGGTGTGGTGTATGCTTTTTTGAACCCGTCTCCTGAGGAAACAGCGAAACACGTATACAACAAGACAAGTATACACCAGGATCCGCTTTCCTGTGCAAATTTTCGGCGGCGTGCGAGAGGGGGAAGTGAGAAGGACAAAGCCTTCTCAGAAGGTTCGGAAGTCCCCCGGCTTTCTGAAAAGTGTTTAAGCCTTCCCCGAAGACATGACAAACCTCTCATTAGGCACGAGGGCTTCTGAGAAGTCCCGCCGCCGCCGCCCTCTGAGAAGGCCTTATCCTTCTCATTCCCCCCCCTCGCTCGCCACCGAAATTTCAGACAGGGCAGGGAAAAAAACGTCGGCGTGCAGAATTTGGTCACTATTTCAATCCGGGCGTTGGTCTTCGATCTCCACCTCGAGGGCCCGTGCTCGGGCCCCGTGGCCCTCAAGAGCGGGCCCAGGATGCAAGGGCAGCCTCGGGTGACCGAAGCGGTCGGGACCTCTGGAGGTGTCTGGGCTGGCGCCGTGGGCAAAAGCACGGCGGGCAGTTCTTCGCCACGCCGACGGCGACGATGCATCGGCGACGTCGGAGCGATCCTCCGACCAAGGCGGGGCTAACGGCAATGTTGCTTCACGGTGATGTTGAGAACGAACTTGTAGGAATTCGCGAATCACGCTTTCCCACATGTCCAGTCTGCGCACGGATTGAGCGAACACGACAACAAAGCGAATTGCAGGAAAGCGCGGGCCACGGATTCCCACGCTATCGAAACCTACATCGCCGTTGCCTGCATCGCTGTTAGCCCGTCTACGGTCCGAGCCCATCTACTCGGGCCCCGCCTCCAGCAGGTGGGGCGCTGGCGGGAGTTTCGGCTGATCTAAACTTAAAATGGTAACCCAGACCTCCTCGGGTCGTGGACATCAACGCGACGCTCAGTGTCTCGCCACAGTTGTGTCCAGTCCACGGAACGAAGTTCTAACTATCGATGCCAATGCAGCGACGCACAAGTGCCACAGCAAGGCCCAGACAAGCCTGCGTCCCCTCAGCTTGTGAACTCAACGCGCACATGGGAGAGCGTGAGAAACAGGAGACGGAGGAGAACGAAATGGGCGAAGGAGGAGGAGGACGAAGACGCAGGAGAAGGAGGGGGACACCGTTTTGCCACTTTCGGCCTCTGAGGGCCCTAACCGGGCCCCACTTGCCATCGCTCGTACGCCCATTCCCCGTGCATTTTTCGGCTTCGCGCGTTGACTATTGGGCTCGGTGATCCAGGATGCTCCTCGATGGCCCTCGCCGAAAAGACATGCACGCGTCCGAGCGTTGCCAAGCCCGGGTCCGTCGAGCACACGACTCCGGGTAGACGAGACACTGGTGGCGGCCGCCGCGCGGTGCGCAAGGCGGGCACGCCGAGGAGGGCGAGGCAGGAGATGCCCCCCCTCGAGAGCGACTCTCCGAGGCCACTGCGCCCCCCCCCCCCCGCAGGACCTCGGGGCCCAGCTCCACGCCGCGGGGAAGGACGGCTCGGGCTCGAGAGCTCCAGAGGTCCACGCTGCGAGCAGGCCGCGGCGCGGGAGTCGTTGGATTCCCCCCCCCCCCAGCTTGCGAGTATGGCGCGGCTGGGTGCCGCCGTGCGGATCGGAAGCGTCGCCCTGTCTCGAGCGAAAGCAACCTGTGCTGCTCTAAGCTTCAAGCCGCGTCTAGTTTCTTGCGCCTGTTGGGCGCTGCTTAGTACGGGGGCGATAGCTGGGGGGGGGGGGGGTAGAAAAGTGCACCTGTTGTGCCCCTTTTGAGCTCCAGGGGAACTCTTTTAGGCCCAAAAGGCGTACTTTCCCTCCCCCTCCCCCCCATTCATCGCCCTCCCCATTACGCAACGCCCGAGCATGTAGCGAGAGTACTTATGCCGTGCACTGCAGCCTCTGCAGCCCCTCCTCCCCCTCTTCCCTTTGCTGACCGCGGGCCGACGGCTGAGCATGTTCTATCGGATAAATGCAAAGGGTGACATCTAAAATGGCGCTCGGAAAACGTTTTGGAATTTCTCGCGACAACGGCCGTCACCGGCCCTGGCCGCCCCCAAACCTCCCGCAAATAACGTCACGATTCGGTTGACCTTCTTGGTATGTTTGTTGATTCCTAGACATTCCCGAACGGCGCCGGCGCTAAACGTGACGTTGCCGGCCCCCCGCCCCCACCTCCCTCCTCCACAGTAAAGACCGTTATCGCCCTTGAGCAGTAACGCTCTTGGCCCAAAACATCCCCACCCATCAGCGTCCCCAAGAAGACGCGTCGCGCGTACGTCGCGGCAGCGGGGTCACCCGAGAAGTTCCGCGCCGACGCGCGTCTGCGTCGAGCGGGCTCTGCGCCCGATTGCACGAATGGCCATTGTAGGCTCCGCTCAGGGCCCTCTGCCGTCGCACTCTGAGAGGCTCGGGGAGTGCGACGGCCGCAGGCATCTGTGTCTTGTCTCCAAACAATCCAAAGCGACCCTGACATCTCCGACGCACAACGAGGTTCGAGAACCGCTGCGTGGGTCCTTGAAGCACGAAGCTCTTGCCAGAGCGAACGCCCGAATTCTGCATTTCGTATGTGGTACACAAATCACACCCTTGCGGCAGGAGACCCTGAGCAGCTTCACTGAGGTACACGGAACGAGCCCCAAATGGGGGGGCCCCGACGGGGGGCCCGATTCGGAGCCACGAGGGGGAACCTGGATGGGCCACCGATTTCGTGGGCCTGGCATCCCTCACCAGGCGCTATCGTAAGTACATGGAACCCTTGCACACAAGCTGCTCAGGGAACGACCCTCGAACCAATCCCACAACGACACGAAAGAGTCCATATCGATAGACGCTGAACTCTGAAAGACCCCGAACGATCCAAGACTTCTGAAATCTTCCGGGGGGGCGCGCAGCAACGGTTTGAGTCGTTGCGCTTGGCCCCCACGGGTTCCCCGAAAGCCGCGCACCGAAGGATACTCGACCCACTAGTCTCGGATTGCTCTTACGTCCAACCGATCGATTTATCTCCTCGTGGGCAACTTGTGCGCTGGGTGGGTGTCTCGACGTTTCGCCTCGTTGGCGCCCGTGCCTGTGCGGAGGCAGCCGCGGGCTAGTTGGGGCCGCGGTGCAGGCGCGCCCGTGTGCAGAGGCGGACGCTGCGCAAGCTCGGGGAACGCGCGGACCCCTTGCCGTCGCTCCCTGATCATGGGAATGGCCTGCAAGGCTACCAAAGCAGACTACTCTGTCGCGCCTCGATGGGCCGCCACAGCGACGACCTCCACGCTGGACGAAGGGATTGTCGATAAGGTGCACGCGCGCACACGGCCGACTCCAGAAACCCTGATCTCTCTTTTCTCATTTTTTTTATCTCTCTCTCTCTCTCTCTCTCTCCCTCTCTCTCTCATGACTATATACAAGACTGCATTAGCGCTTCGCGCCATGCGCCTTGTTCCGGACTCTTAGTTGTCAAAGCAATCAATCATCACTTGCTTGAGCAGGGGGGGACCTCGATGGACGGGCGACCAGCTCATTTTTCTGATATCCCTGGCGCCTGCTGACACCGCGTTCGCCCGATGCGCTTGCACGCTTGTGCGCAGGAGCGGGGAAGGAATGATGAGTTTCTTCACACGCCAAGGTCCGTTGAGGAAGTCAGGAGCGTTTCCATGACACGCCGAAGAAGTCGTAGTAGCTCCGAACAAATCGATGTTTGGTCGATTCCTGATCTCTTGGAGGGCTCCAGGCACTCAGGACACGTTCGATCGTCGAACTTCGAATCTAGATCCTCTGCCTGTCTCTCTCGATCGAGGAATTTACACCTTGAGCCTCAAGCGTGGGACCACGATCGTCGGGTCAGCTCGATGTACTTCGTCGGAGAACCCCGTCTGAGCGTTTTTGGTGCTCTTTTGGACCGTCTTGAGGCCCTCTTAAGCCGTCCTGGGGCCTTCTTGGGCCGTCTTGAAGAGCTGGGGCCCTCCAGAGGTCTTCTGAAGCCATCTAGGGCCCTATTGGGAGCCTCCAGAAGGGGGTCTCCCATGGCTTTCGTGGGTCTCTCTTGGGAGCCTTCTGGGGGCATCTTGGGCTTCTTGTGGGCAATCTCGGGGATCTCTGGAACAGTATTGGGGCTTTCTTGGGCCGTCTGAAAACCCTCTCGGGGGCCCATCAGGCCGTCTTGGACGCTGGGAAGGCCCCCCAAAGCGGACATGCTAGAAATATAATTTTGCGAAAGGAATGGGACGATGTTTGCTTCTTCGGGGCTCTCTGAACGGCCTCTTGGGGCGTCTTGGGGGCCTCTTGGGCCGTCTTCAGACCATCGAGGTTCCTCCCGGAGCGCTCTTGTGCTATCTTGGGTCTCTCTTGCGCCTCTCCGATGACCCCTCTGCTCGCATTGAGTCAGCTCGCAAGGCCCAGCAAGGCGCCCTGGGAGGCCCGGAAGGGCCAGCGGACCTTTAAAAAGCGCGTCCAGGGGGCCGCCAAGACGTCCGAAAGGGTGTCCAGGGCGTCCCTGGGGGGCGGTCCGGTTTAGGGGGGGGGGGTGCGGGAAATGAACAAATGTTGGAATCGGACATATACGAGATGAGCGCGCCCGCAGGGCCCGACGAGCAAAGGGGAGGGGGGGCTAGGCTTAAGCTACCCCCCCCTTCCTTGAGCAGCCCTTGTCGGAAGCACCCCCCCCTCCCCCCTTTTTTTTGCAAGGGGGGGGACTTACAGCTACCCCCTCTCCTCCTCCCTTGGGCCCT